CCCCCCCCCCCCCCAAGGCATGATTAATGAACAGTCCCTAAGTCAAGTCATTGTCGGTCTTCGTATCTTTTCAGAAACTTGTGTTCAGTTTGATGAATGCTGCGCTGTCCATTCACTCGGCCGCCTTTGACTTGGCCAAGAATTATGCTGTCGTTGGATGGATACACTCCCTTTGCTTGTCAAGGTATTAGCATCAAACCTATACCTTATCGATTTTCAATCATGCCGCTTATTTCCACGATAAAAATAAAGATGACATATTGTGGTGCAAAATCTTACCATGCGTAATTTCTCTGCAACTACATTTATACACTCTTTTATCGTGCGACAAAATTACTAGACACTGAAGTCTCGAGGAACATTGCCCTGCGTGCACAGGAGGTAAAAGAAGACTCTGCTCGCAGGGTAGAAGAACGCTAATTAGTTAGTATAACGTTCCTAGAGCGCATGCAGTAAAACCATGAAATAAAAACGAAGTCAATACTGACAAATAGTATCTATTTAGTGACTAATAGTTGCTATCACTCAACCAGCACATTGATCATACAAAGACAAATACATAAGAGACCATTTGTTTCTTTTGTTAAATAAATGTTCTGGTTGAGTGCTTGCAACTATTAGTCACTAAATAACTACTATTTGTCAGTATCAACTTCGTTTTTATTCCATGGTTTTACTGCATGCGCTCTACCAGTGCAACTGAAACGCACTCACTTATTCCCAATAAATATATCAGAAGTTTTGTTGACGGATCTGACTTCTTTTTCTTTTATCGCATGTGCTAGCCCAAGCGATGCAGAAAAACTCAGCACCTGTCTACGGTTACTCCACACATTGTGGTTCACAATCCAACGAGGTAAACCAAGTGCCTGCGGTGAAGTGGAAAGCGGTGATGCATCAAACAGTACGCCCTACCCACCCAATCTCTGTGGAGAAAGTCTACTGGTCTGCAAGACGTTGATCAAACTGTACAGGTTTGTCTGAAGAATCGATATTTTAACCAAAAATAGAAAAGGAAGTCACAATAAATGCAATATCTGCCTTTGCATGTCTTTAAAGTGCCTATCACCTACAGGATGCCTTCGTGATTTAGATAAAACAGTCAGTTTGGTATGTTTGAATGGTTTGATGGTGTTGCCATTAGCCCTGATTGGTTCAAATTGAATGTTTCGTTTTTATTCTACATTATGATTGGTTGATTTTGTACGAATGATACCATGATTTCTCCTTCTTAACGAAAGATGTACTTGCTTTTTTATCCATAGTTCCAGCTCCACCTTGAATGACTTGCCGATGTTCCTCGAGCTTCTTGAATCAGTCTTAAACCACCTCAGACAATCATCGGCACAGGGATCCCATCTCACTCACCAAGAAGTCTTGCAGCTTATAACTTTATGGTGTGGGTTGTACAATGAGTCTCAAGTGCTAAATGCACTTAAAATAGAACTGCAGTTGACAGGACAGGAATCAAGAGAAGAAACAAGCAGCAAGGATGAAAAGGGAACATCTGAAAAGCAAAAATCATTCAATCTCTTGCTTGACATCATAGTACTATGGCGCCCAACTTTGATCTTAGAAGAGAATTCTGCTACTAAAATTACAGATGGAGTGTTGATGCTAGCTTGTAATTTTGGGCTCCACTTTGCTACCAGTGTTTGTCCAACTGCAGATCATTCCGACCAATCCCTCCTCAAGGTGGTCAAATGGTTTAGATATTGTGTCGCTTCAAGTGCGTCCCTTCAGAAGTATCTTCTCCGTCACGTGGGAGAACCATGTCTTAGACACCTCCTTTTTCTGTTTGGTTGCGTAAATGGTGCGAAAACTCAACTTGTCCAAGAACTGAATATGATATTTTTGGTATTACTGTCACGTGTACAGCACATGGAAAATGATTGGTTAGGAACGACTGCCAGTGAAATGGTAAAGTTGCTGTCCAGTGACGTATATCGAGAAATTATGTCAGGGGTTGTGGAAATTTTGCTTCCGCTTTGCCCCAGTCCACTGATAGATGAAACGGCTGAAAATGTTGATGGTGAGTTTTATTATTGTATTAGTTGTATAGTAAATATTTATAATTCGCCTGTCTTAGCATTGTTCATATACACCCATTAAGGAAAGAGGTGAGGTGAGGTGAGGTGAGGTGAGGCGAGGCGAGGCGAGGTGAACTGGGGTGAGGTGAGGAGAGGAAAGCAGAGGATAGGTGACAAGATTAGAGGAAAGGAGAGCAGAGCAGAGCAGAGCAGAGCAGAGCA